AGTTTTTTTTTTTTTTTTTTTTTTGCTTCAGGTGGGCTTTGTGCTGTCGTAGCCACGTATGGGGTTGCAGTGCAGTAGTGTACATATTTGGTTTGTATTTTCTGTTTCCAATGCGAATCTCCTTTCCACAGCCTCAGTCCCAGTCTCCTATATACAGCTCTAGTGCCAAAAGCTCCAGTGCCTCTGTTTCTAGAGACGGGCTCAGCTCTCCTTCTCCCCGTGCCAGTGAAGAAGAACACGTCTACAGGTATCTTGTCCCTCTTAAGAGATAAGCCTGACTCACAACTTGAGCCTGCTGTGGCTCAAGCTGCTTTCTATAACTGGAAACAAACACTGTGTATGTTATGTTGCCTTGTGTTGGTTTTGGTTACCTCTTTTGTAAGAGGCACTGTAACTTTTGTACTCACCTCAAACATTGACCTGGCCCTTTGGTTTGCTCAGCTGCAGAAGAGGTTAAGGATCCATCAGATAGAACGGGATCAGGATTGTGCTGTGAAGGGTATGATCCAGAGACAAGTGACAAATCCCCCTGTTAAGCACCCCAAAAGTTTTTCAGAGGTGGGTGGCCTTTGGGTCAGTTATCCCAAGGAACTCAGTTAAAAATTCATTGACTTGAATTTTCAAGTAAATTAGAAGTTAAAACTTTCATCTCAGTAGCTGACAGATAACTAGTTTATACTTGCAAAGGCAGCTGCTCTTATGCTGAGAGGTTGGAGTAGCAGCCTGAATGTAGGACAGACCTTTCTGCTGACATGGAGGTGAGTGAGGAAGAGGCTGTCAGAACTTCACCTCTGATGGCCCTGTACAGTGCAGTCTGTCCTGGGTGCCTTCTTACAGTGCGGAGAGACTGGTGTTTCTCTGGTGTCGGATTCTAACCATGCCCAGCTCTTTCTGCTGAGCAGGAAGTTGCTTTCAGCCAGAACAAATTCTGGGTAGAGGCAGGCATATCCAGAGATGGCCCAATGGAGACAGTAATTGAAATTTTTTCAGATGCCTGCATGCAATTAGTACAAAATGGAGGTAATTCCAGCCATAAGTCCTCCTGTACAAGGGTCTGGCATGGCTTGGTTCTGATGTGAATTGTAGCTTGTGTGCTTGGGTTGGGGAAGAAGTATGCCCTCCTCAGGTTGTATACGTGGATCTTTTTTTTTCAATCTGAAGAGAAAGATAATAACTGCCCTTACGGAATTTCATAATTGTCACTGGTGTTATAGATGTCAGAGTCCTAAAGCTTGTTACTTATTAACTTTCTGAGCATAATATGGTAGTGTGTGCAAGACGGAACTTCCCATTTTGGATTTGGAAAGTATGTTTATTTGTAAAACTAGGAGAAAATAATTTCCCTGCCATTGATGATGGGAAGACTGTTATTACCATGTAATTACTATAAAAATCACTGCATTGGTGCTAAGTTTAGCTTTGAAACAGTGTGTGGTTGTGTGTGGTAAATGGGATCACCCATATAGGGTAAGGAATAATTACAACCAGTGTTTTATACACACCTGTGAACACGTAAACTTCTTTAAAGGTTTGTGTATTTAACACAGTAGAAAATAGTTTCAAATTACTCTCTTAGAAATTGATTAGAGTTCCTCAAATTAAAGGTTTGAGGACTTGGAGAGACCTTGAGTGCTGCAGAGGCCACCACATAACCTGCTGCTTTTGATTTTTTTGTTGATAGATTGAGGTTTGTACTTTGCCTCTTTCTCCAGTCTGTGCTGGCCTTGCATTCCCTTGCTTCAGGGGGAAGTTTTTGCCGCTTGGTGTGATGTCAGCAGAAACAAGTCATTTTCCTGTATGCAAGCTAATGGTTCTGCTGCTGTTCTGTGCATCTTGGATCTACAGATGGTTAACTCTTTGCTACAGGGCTGTGCATCACACAGTCCTGAAACCTGAGGCCCTGTCCATCAATGCTGTTTCTTTGTAACTGACAACTGAAGATGTGGGCTAAGCAGCGGCTGCATTGTAGTCATTTCACAAAGCACGCATCTTCTGTCCCCCAGAACTAAAAGCATCAGCTTGAAAAGGATACAGTACATGTGTAAACTTTGTGAACTTAATGTAGGTTTCCCTCCATCCTTCTGCAGCATCGTGATGTAGAAGTTTCACACTTCCCTTTTATCTTTAGTTTCCCAAACAAGCAGAAGTCTGCAGAGCCATCTCCCACAATGACCAGCTCCTCTCTGGGCAGCAACCTCTCAGAACTGGACAGACTTCTTCTGGAACTCAATGCTGTTCAACATAATCCCACCAGTGGCTTCCCAGCAGGTAAGCAATAGCAAGACATTTGGTATGAGTTGATAGCTTGATTCTGAAAATAGTAGCCTACTTCTTCTTTCCAACATCCTTCCTGAGGGAGACCCCTCTGACCCCTGATCAAAGATTCATTTAGTCTGGATGGGATCTCTCAAGGTCTGTGGTGCAGCGCCCTGCTCAAAGCCGGGCCAGCTTCAAAATTGGCTCTAACTAAAGTTTCAAAGTTAGATTAGGTTGCTCAGGCCCTTGCACTGTCAAGTTCTGGATATCCTTGAAGATGGATGTCCCACAAGGTTTCTGGGCAATTTGTTGCTCTTGTCTGTGGTTAGCATGTACATATGGACCTTGGGGTCTGAATGACTCTTTTCTGCTTCCCTTTTCTCAAGATGAAGCCAGCAGAACCCCATCGCTGCCCAGCATGACTGGACCTCACTATGTTATCCCAGAGAGTAGCAGCTCTGTGGGAGGGAAGGCTGCACCCCCTACAAAAGAAAAGCCAAAACGAAATGGTGCACGCGGGATTGAAGATGTGCGTCCCAGTGTGGAGAGCCTGCTGGATGAGCTGGAGAGCTCTGTGCCAAGTCCAGTGTGAGTAGCGTTTCAGCGGTGGCTGGCTTGGGTGCGGTGAGACAGGCTCTTGTGGGAATAGTGGCTGTAGTGTAGGGGCAGATGTTGCAGAAGGGTGACAGACAGAATATGGGCTTTGTCTAAAGGGTTGGAAATCAAGGAGGAGCATGAATATGCTGGCGCTCTTTTATCTACTCCTGGATGAAAAAAATACGTGTCATTTTACGAGAGGTGGATTGTTCAAACTCACGTTTATAGCTGATCGCAAATACCACTGTCTGACAAAATGAACGTTTGGTCATCGTCTATTTCTTAATGGATGGTGTGTGTCTGTGTACATGCTTATGTTAGACTTGGCAGAGAGACAGGGTCTGCATGTGGTGAGAAAGCTGGTCTGGGGGAGGGCTGGCCAGGGTGGGCAGTGCTGATGAAACTCGTCATGCTATGCTTGCTTGGGGGAGCAGTGAGACTTTCAGTCTAGGAGTGCTCTCCCAGGCTTAATTGCACTCTGTTTTTTTAAACTTTATTTCCTTTTTCTTGTCAGCCCTGCAATCACTGTGAGCCAAGGTGAGGTGAGCAGCCCCCAGCGGGTCACTGCCAGTCAGCAGCAGACCCGTATATCTGCTTCTTCAGCTACACGAGAACTGGATGAGCTGATGGCATCTCTCTCTGACTTTAAGGTACCCTATCGTGACAAGTTAATACTTCATCTTGTCCCTCCCCACCACCAAACTCTCTTGCCCATTAGCCACATTTGCTGACCTTGTTTGGTCTCCAGAACGTCTTCTTGCTCTGAGAAACTTCCTGTGGTGGTATTTCTGCTTTCTGAGTACCGTTGTACGTGTTCTTGACTGCTATAAATTCTCATCAGTGGCAGGATAAGGCAGTAAGGCAGTTCTGGGGTCTGTTTTTTCCTTTGGTTCTGCAGTCTGTCTGTTTGCCAAAGATAATTAGCTTAGTTACTGCTCAGTACAGGGTGAATTATTTTGCTGTGCTACAACTTAACAAGAAGTAGGGGAGCACGGGACACCAGTCTGCTTACTGACAGACACCAGACTCTTCTCTGGGATGACCCTCCTCTTTAGAGTGTATTTTTACCCTGATGTGCTTTCCCTGAGGAGGATCTTCCAGGCATGTGGTATGAGCACTGAAGCCTTTGCATCAGACAGCTGGAGACTTCAAAAGTTTCCATTTTAAAACAATATGTCTTATTCATCTCAAACTGGGATTAAAGTCTGAGCTTCTTGTGGAGGCAGAGGATGTTTGGAATCAAACAGAATCTTGTTTGGAAATCGAACTATTGTATTGGAAAAGAAATGCTGCTTCAGTCACAAGTAGCACATAAAAATCCCCTAATAGGATAAGCTCAGGAGTAACTTGCCCATCATCATCTTGATATGTGAAGCACGTGGCATATGTACTTGGATAACTTTTATTTATTCATATAGGTATGCAGATGATTAACTGTGGAGGTTAGTTTCATGAGACTTCATTTACCCATAATCATAGCAAAATGAAAAATATTTTTCTCTTCTTCCTTTATACTTTCAGCTGCTTTGCTTATAGCCTCACTGAATTATTCACTTGAATTTGTTCTGAGAGAGGTGGAGGAAGCAAATATCTAATATATTCTCCTTGTTGTCATGGTTGGGTTTGCCTTTCTTACATACACCTGCCAGGTCAGCTTTCTAATCCTAAGGGAAGTCCCTAACTCTCTGGTTTTCCCCCATAGGGAAGATTCTGCTGATCCTTGGTCGGTCTTGTATGTGCTGAACTCCATCTCGTCCTGTCATGACTTTAGGGGGACAGCCAGAGCTGAAGAATGTTTTGTGAGGACAGGTAGACAGGACATTCAATGACAGTTTTGCTGTTTGTTGTTCTCTCTGTGCCACTGTTCATGTGAACATTTTTGATGTGTGCTGTGGGTTTCATGGAGGTCATTACAATACCTGGAGTTTTGGCCAAGTGTGTGAGTTCAGAACCCAGCAGTGAGCATGCACGCTCTGTGGGACTGTGCTCGCCTTGCACTCCCTGGAATTAAATTCAGTCTGCCGTTTCTGGCACTCGTACTTCATTTTGTGAGAATCTAGGAGTTACTCACTGTTTTCTCTAGACTTACTGTAATGTGTATTTAGTCAATTGCAAACATTGACACCTTAGCATTGCCTTTTTTCCTCTATATTAGGTCCTAGCGTAGAGTGCAGGATATCCACAAGTGCCTGTTCAATCTGGTTGAAAAACTGCACTGTTGTGAGGCTGGAGAGACTTCCCACCTGTGCTGCTGGCATACCCTGCCTTGCTCCTTCCACATGCTGTGGGAGCTTGAGCGCTACGGCTTCCTGCCCTTGCTGCTTTTATCAGGGCTCAGAAAACAAGCTGGGGGTGTGGTTGCTGCCACCAGCCTTTGCTCCTAGGTGAGCTCTTGGCAACTGAGAATGACCTTGCCCAGCACAGGTTTTCCTTGCGAGATACAAGGAGGAGACGTTTTTAAGTGCGGGTGTTCAGTTGCTTTGCAGTCTTGACAAAAGGCCTTAGAATCTTTGTGCAACTCCAGTAAAACCTGCATGACAGACTAGCTGCTGTCTGTAATACTGTCCCCCTTCCTGGCTTAGTCTCTGGTTGAGCTCTGAAAGCAAACTGAAATGCAACAAGATTTTAAGATTTGGGTTTTATAAATGCAGCATTAGTATTTTTGCAAAGCATTGAGCTCATCTGTGTCTAAACGTTCTTCCTGAAGCACAAAGAACATGGTTTCTGTGATCATTTTCTTTTTGTTAATATTGTCATTGACTGTTTTTAACAGTTACTTTCACTTTTCCTGTCCTCCAGGTTGCTTCATTTTCCCTTCAGTCCTTTTTGATTGTTTTTATCTTCTCTGTGCCAACTAATGGTGTTAGCTTGTCTGTAAAAATGTATTTCTAGTCTGTACCAGTGGCAAGATGTGAGAGAGAGAAGTGGAGTCTTTGCAAACGTGAAAGATGAAAGGCTACCATTCGGGTACCAGACCTGTGTGTGGTTGCAAGAAATAGGACAGAAAAACTACGGATGATGTGTATTTAGTTGGTATTTGGTACAACTAGAAGTTGCAGTAGATGGGGATGGGAGGAGTGGAGGCACTGATGTTTAATTTCCTTCATACCCCAGAGTAAAAGGTGCTGTTAGGCTGATACATTACCCTTTTATCATCTTTTGCTCGCTTTAATGACTTGCTCATTCTTTTTGCTTACAGAATCCATTTGATTTTGGTTATCTAGCTCATCAGTCAGTGGGCACTGAGATCACTTGATGCACTTGTTTTTTTTTTCAACCTCTGCCATTTCTGTGTAATACGATGCCTGCTTACTGCATAGCTAGATACTTGTATTTAACTATTGTATTATTTTGAGTGTTTAACCATTGCTCTTATTTTGGAGCTAGTATGTTTCTAATATACTCAAAATACTTACTTTTGAGCAAAATGTTAGTCTTGCCTTGAAAATGACTGAATTTTAGGAAGTCTGGAAACTAAGCATGAACCACAGCATAAAACCCAGTTACTTTTACAGGTGCACCCAACTTAGGCAAAATACAGAGGGAGGGCAATATTGGGAAATTCTCTCATTTTAACTATGAATGTGCTTATTAGGCCTTTTTGTCTCTGCTGTGACTGTGGGTCTTGCTGTGCTACTCGAGAGGAGGAGCAATCTGTAACGAATTGTGGTCCTCTTGCTCCTTCCTTTCTGAGCACGGTCTCCCTATAGCACATGTTGTGACTTCACAGATGTGTGTGTGTGCGTGCCAGCTCCTGGTCCCTCGAATGGCAGCAGCTTAGGTCAGCTGAAGGTACACGTCTCTTCCATCTACTGGCAGATTTTGTGCATGTTCTGGTCAATTTTATCTTTTTATTCATGATAATTATCTCAGAAAGGTAAATAAAGACTGAGATACCATACATGGACTTAGGAAGTTATGTGCCCTGCTACCTTGGAGCATAAGCATCTAACTTCTTGAGGCTTCTTTGAAAAATATGACTAAGAATCAGAGCAGGTCTTGATAGCTCTTGGATTTGGAAATCCTTTGTGGATATGTTTTTAAAACTGAGAGGGCTCAGCATTGGTCTTAGGTTGACCTGCTGTGTGAACTTGACCAAACTACTGTTCTGATTTTCCTTTTTTAAGAAGGGGTAATGCCAGTTTGTTTCCTAGAGTTTGGCCCCGCTGAAAATGGGGGGGGGAAGGAGGACCCATGATCTTTTGTTTTCAAGAGACCCTGTAAGTCAAGGAGAACCAAAACCTCTGTATCAGTTGCTCTTGTTAGAGTGCATTTTGGAACAAAATTAATACTGATTTTATTACGATGTAAATGTGGAGTCTTTGGCCTAAGGGGAAGTGGCTAATCTAGCTACCTAAGCAGTGCTTACAAGGGCATGGAGTGACTGACAGACTCATATAGATTCAGTATGTGCCGTGTCCAAGGTGAGATTAGTGATGTGAATAGAACAAAGCCCGTGTCATCTGTTCTTGCTGTGAATGCCCTGAAGCTTTGTTTTCATTGCCATGAACTCAGCCAACTGGAGCATTTTATTAGTGTACCAAGAAGAAAATGTCATGCTTTGTTCTATTCATTGATTGCTTTTTTTCAGCTTTGAAGTGTAAAATTTACACATCCGACTCCGAGTAAGTTGTTAACGTGACCTTTACTCACAGTCTAGACATTCCTGGGTTCGTATCTGGCTTCCCAGCAGCTGCTGCATGCCCCCATCACAGCTGCAGGTGAACACATGGCTATCACTTAGAAGGCATAGGAAGAGAACTTTGTCTCTGATAATCTCATGTGAAGATCAGCACAAGGCCATACTGGTTCTGCTTTTTGATATCCCATTTTCCTTCCTTACTCTTGGAAGTAAGGTTTTGGAACAACATGGCTCTTTGATTTGGAGGTCATGATTGCTATAATGCTTAATTCTTTGCTTTTTTTTTTCTTCTCCTTATGTCTGTCTTTATCTTTTTCTCTCCTTATTCCTTCTGTCTCCTTTTTGCAGACTAGTTCCACTATGTCTCTGATTTCTGAACCCTCCCTAGAACTGGTTCCCAGTTCAGCAAATACGGACTCCAGCAACACTCCTCACAGTTTAACAGTGCTATCGCATTCCAAACAGCCTTCTGCAAGTCACAGTGGGGACCTGACAGTGCCAACATCTGCCCCCTCGGCAGTCCTCAGCATTGCGGAAGGCAGTAACGCTGTAGTTCTGCCTACTTCAGGGCATTCTGCCGCTCCTCCACGCATGCCCCATTTGCCACAAATGGTCCCTGTGCCCCCACCACGGGTCTCTTCTGGTTATGCTACTCGCGGGCAGCAGATGACCTCTGCAGGCTTGGTTCAACTGAGCAAAAAACCTGGCTTTTCTAGAAATGCTTCCCAGGCTGTGCCAGCTTCCAGTGTGGAGCTTCTGTGTAGATCTGCTAATGTGGAGGCACAAGGCCTCCAAGAGTATGATTTGGCAAAAGAGACCGAGAAGAAGGAGCCAAGAACTGATCCCAAAATCTCAAGTGTACCAATTTCAGAGGCTTTAAATGGTCAGGGGAAGGGGCAGATACCTAAAGAGCTGGATCAACAGGGAGCATCCAGGGACAGCTCAGCCCTTTCTTCCCAGGGCGGAAGTGTGGAAACAGCTTTAGATGAGCTGTGGGCCCTGGAGCTG